AATTGCGAAATAAAACTTTAAGTAGCTCAATAACAAGATGTAGATCTCAGTCAATGATTGTCCAATTAAGGCATCATATAGGAAGTAAAAAAGAATAATATAATTGATCATCCATATTAAAAAAAAAAGCAAATTTCACAATAGAAGGCACTTGATTTTGATTGAAAAACAGCTTAGATTCTTTTTATTTGTTTTGTTGAACATTTTGTACTTTGTTTTCAAATTTAATTTATCAATATTGCAGATAGCAAGAAAAAAAAAGTTGGAGATCCAATAAAAAGCATGTATCTGAACCAACTCAATTCACACGCTAAATGTTTAAAAAATATTGAAGTCCAAGATAAAAAGGGGCTGTGGCAGGAGAAGACTACAAAAGAAACTTTTTCAATATCGATACGCAAAAATATTTTTCAACCTTATGATTCATTCAATAACAGCCGTAGTGGGACGCAACAAATTAAAAAAACATAGTGGTTTAGGTCCCCTAAACTATTCCATTGCACGCCTTGATGAACTTTCCTCAGACCACAGTCCAATAATATTCCAAGTATCACTAGCTCCTATTCCTAAACCCTCTCCACCGTCCTTCCTCAAAAGGCCCAGTCAACTGGAAACTCTTCCATCAAATCCTTTCCGATCAAATTGACCTCAGAATAACCCTGAAAACACCAGAAGACCTTGACAATGCTGTGCATTCCTTAACCACCACATTTAACAAGCAGTCTGGACTGCTTCCTCTTCTAATCATTCCTCTAGAACTCCAAAGAAAAATAAATTACCTCATCACATCCTCGAACTAATCCATACCAAACGCCGTGCCAGATTGTTATGGCAACGTACCGATCCCATCATCCCACCGACCGCAGCTCCTATAACTATCTCTGTAAACAACTAAAGCAAGAATTATAACTTCAAATCCCAATCCTTTAACACCTTCCTTACCTCTCTCTCTGCTCACGACAACTCCCTCTGGAATATCAGCAATATCATCTGGAATCCTAAAAACCCATAATATTTCCCATCCCCTCCGTCGAGGTGATGGCTCCTGGGCGGCGTCTGATGAAGACAAAGCTGAGGAATTCGCCAAACACCTTTCCAGTACATTTACTCCTCATCCCGAATCCAATCCGACCCACACTACAATAGTAGAAGAATTCCTTTCTTCAGCAATTCCACTCTCTTTACCACCAAAAGCAGTTCATCCATCTGAGGTCAAATATCATTTACAAAAACTATCTTCCCGCAAATCTTCTGGATACGACCTTCTAACCCCACAGATCCTTCATCAACTATCACCCAAAGCAATCATATTCCTCACATACATATACAACTGCATCCTAAGATCTACCCGTTTTCCTCTCTTATGGAAACATTCCACCATCGTCCTTTTCTTGAAACTTGGCAAACTTTCCAATAATACATGGTCATATAAACCAATTAGCCTACTCCCAATCCTTTCCAAAATTTTTGAATCCTACTGAAAAGAATCCTACCCATAATAGAACCACAAAACCTTCCTACCCACCAATTCGGATTTCGCTTCTAACATTCCACTGTCCAACAAGGACTCCGACTTGTTGACCACATATCCTCAGTCCTAGAAAGCAAAGAGTATTGTTCGGGGGCATTCCAGGATATTGCGCAAGCTTTTTATCGGGTATGGCACGCCGGACTGCTCTTTAAGCTCAAATCCCATCTACCCCATTCCTTATATCTTATCCTCCGATCCTACCTCTCTGACCGCTCCTTTCAAGTTCGCTATGGTATAGAATCCTCCAACTGTCATTCAATCAAGGCGGGAGTTCCTCAAGGCAGCGTCTTGGGTCCCGTCCTCTACATTCTGTTTACCGCTGATATTCCTACTCATCCTGAAACACTCCGGGCAACATTCGCTGATGACACAGCCATCTTATCTTCCAATCCAGATTCTGAAACAGCATCCTTAAACTTACAAAGTCACCTCTCTCTTATTGAACACTGGTATAATAAATGGCGAATCCAAGTAAATGAATTCAAATCCAAACATATTACTTTTACCCTTCGACGCAATTCCTGTCCACCAGTCTACTTCAACTCCATACCACTTTCTCTGTCCGACACAGTCCCGTATCTTGGCTTTATTCTAGACAAAAGACTAACATGGAACCCACACACTAGACTTAAAAGACAACTTAACATACGATACGGACAACTATATAGACTATTGAATAGAAAATCTCAACTTTCAGTCGACAACAAACTATTAATCTACAAGACAATCCTGAAACCTATTTGGGCCTACGGAATAGAACTGTAGGGAACAGCAAAACTTTCTAACATCAAACGCATTCAATCCTTCCAGCCTAAAATCCTCCGAACAATAGTCGATGCTCCCTTCTATGTATCCAACAAAACCCTAAATAATGACCTTCATATCCCATTTGTTATTGACCTAATCCCAGACAAATTTTCCAAATTTCACCAGAAACTCATTCATCATCCAAATCCTGTAGCACAATCCCTATCTAGCTCCAGCCATCTCTACAATCTTCCCCGGAGGTTAAAACGGCAGTGGCCCCGCGACCTTTTGTAAATATGTATATATTGGAGTACTGGCAATGGCCAGATTCTCAACTCAAGACATGAGCCTCTGTTGCTATAGTGCCCTCCATCAGTTTCCACTGGTTTCAAATAACAGTGACACGGCTGAGAGAGAAGCACTGGGATCTCCTGGAGTCCTGCCTTGGCTTACAAGTCGGGGAATAAGGCATGACTCAGAGTCCTCTGGGTGAATGTAAATATTGTACGTAGGTGTGAATGTGATTTATTTACTTTAATTTCATCTAGTTTTTATCTATTATTTCATTATTTTTTTTGTACACAGGCATACCAATTTACTTATTTTATTTTGTTTCTATTTCTATTTCTTTATTATTGATATTAATTGTATATACATATTGTGTGAATGAATCATGTAGCCTTAATATTAATGCCCTTCAATGTGGCAGAATGTTTTAATATTCAATAAAGAAAGTTAAAAAAAAAAAAAAATTATTGGGAAAGGGGGTAGAGAGACGAAAAAGAAAACTGACACCCCTAAAAGACACTTCTCTACCAACATATTGATTCACATACGAATTTTGACTCTCTAAACACGATTTGGAGAAGCTGTGTCGGAGCGGAAGTACTTAAAAAAATACTAACATGAACATAAGTGAATGAAACTTCCGTTTTTATCAAACAATACGGTAAATGATAGGAGCTCGGATAGGAGGTTTTTCCTAGGGTGAGCAATGGATATTAGATGGAACAGAAAAAAAAACTATAATCAGACAAAAGACCCAATTGGATCGTATAAGTAAAATTAAAAAGACAAGAAAATACCATTAACTATCACCTATTTTGGATTACAGATTCCCATTTAAATTACGAAAAAAGAACATAGCCTGTACCTCTATACTCTATGGACATGTAATCTAAATTATAAACGCACCAAATCTAATCCCAAGCCACACCACACTAAACATCACTATTCCCAAGGACTAAAATATTAGAAACTTGGACAAAAAAAACTAAAAAAATAAACATGCCAGTATTATTCAAACAGTGAACAGAGAAAACTTAAAGCGATTTGTTAAGCAAAACCATTTGATTTGAGAAATTATAAAAGTAAAAGTTATATTACTATAATTTAATCAAATAAAACTAAAAAAAATATCTAGTCTGTTTCAGAATTTATGCACCAATACACACACACAATAAACCGTTAGTTCGAAACGCAATTATGCATGGGCTGCACTCAACTGACAATTTATACTGACTAAGTCCTGCTAGGACCCCCGTTGGAGATAATAAAAAAGAGGCTATAGGAGGAATGGAAGGAGTCGCAGCAGTTAACGAGGAGGATTTTTTAACAAACTAGGTAGATACAAGAAGTAGCAAGACTATATAAATCAGTAGAGTAGAAAGAGTAAAATCAGGAATATATCATTTGAAGATAAGGGTAAGTCTTATAGCGGCGTTTAGTAGGCTCCTAATGCTAACTGTAAATCATACTCCTCCGCGAGGGTAAATTAACCGCAGGCACTGGCCAGCTCTGCTGGTAATGCACTTCACTCCGGCTATTTAGCTCTCTCCTCCCCCCTCTCCCAGTATCCAGCAATTTTCCTCAGTTTTCTTATCTAACTTGAAAAAAAAAAAACTACAGAAGCTCTGAGAATAAGTAAAACTTCAGTAAATAAATCATGAAGACATTATTGAATGACAACAAATCCATATATACTTAGGTATCATTTTTTAAAAATCACTATGGACAGCACAATAACTCTAGTGTGTTCAAACTTGTACTGGACGCGGATCAAATGCTTACCTGCCTACCACCAAATGCTTACCTGCCTACCACCAAACTTGCAGCCCCATAGTTTTACCAGATCGAACACAAAAAAATCAATCTTATGATTTAATTTATTTGTAGTTTCACAAACTCTAGGATAACTGGAAGTTACAGTACAAATCAGAACACAGTACAAATCAGTTGACCGCTTGAAACGATAGCTATGAGTGAACTGGCACTATCTAAATTTATGTGTACCTTGTTTCATGAATGAATGAGTTTTATAACTATTGTAGTTATTTTGATTAGCTTAGTTTATTTTTGTTTATATACATTTAGTTTTAGTATAATTATTTTGCTGTATACTTTATATAAGCAATAAATTTGTGTTTTAAATTTTTCAATCATATCCTAACGCATTGTTGTGTTTTTTAAAAAGCAAGTTCGTCTATAGATCATCTAATAAATTCCAAGAAAGATCTCAAGGTATTGAAAACACTGTGGGAACATTATTGAATCAAACAGGAATCTCCAACAGGCTTCACAATAGAAACAGACAGCAATAATGCATAAAGAAACCTACATTTTTTATTTAATATAAATTATTGCTAATACTAAGTTATAATAACTCACCGATGAGTTCCAGTGATTTACTATAATATTAGATGAGAATTATCTCCATGGCTATTTATTTTGAACCCTGACTGGCAAGTGGCCATCCCCTGTCATCGACTCGAGCAATTAGGTCCCACCCGCTTGGAGAAGAATCCACAACGATAAATGTCCTGAGGGCTCTGAAAAATCTTCCTAATCCCAATAATATTTTTATATATTTATCATCAAGCCACTTTTCGAGGGCTCTTGCGTCATGTTCATAAATATCATTCTGTCTGTCCCTATCTATGAAAAATTATTGTACGCAACAAATTATCTTTAAGTCGTATATATAATGATATATTGTTAATGAATACGTTTTCTTCTTGAACCGAAATTGAAACATATATATTTTGTCATCGTACCAGCATGCCATTTTTTATTAATTATTATTTTTAACAATAACTTGTTACCGATCTTTATTAATACAGTTTTGAATGATGGTGAGGCATAAACAGTAATGAATTGGTAACATAAGCCTCCTCTTGAAAGGCCCTGTGAACATCACGTAAAGATTTGCTTGGAAGCCTTTGTGAACAGATGTTGTAAATGATGGGAATTTATTCTTACTGTTTTGAATTTTTCTAAATAACGACAGAGAAGCGGAGATGACGATCCAATTTTATGGCTAGCGAATTATTGTGTTAGTTGGAGTTTGCCACGCAGTGTTCTCGGCAATGTATTATTCTATTCCCAATTATACGATTAGATTCTTTAGCAGCAGAAAAATCTTTGTACAGGTTTCTTGGTCTGTTTTTGGAGCTAGTTTAGGGCTCATACGGCTACTATAGATGACTGAATATCTGCGTAGACCGCAATGTTGCCCTTCTATAGATTTAGTTAACTACTTCAGGAATAAATATTGAGAATAACAACTTATACCACACCTCAGCTACATAAAACTATTAACAAATTTGCCTGATTGATGCGCTGTAGTACTCCCATTCAGTTACACAGTTAAGCAAAACAGCAACCCGTAAACTTTTACTTATCCAAAGTGTTGGGAACGAATTTTTATTTCAATGATTTACTCAATATTTTTTTATTCATTAGTATTTCGCCGATAGAATATATTTAGAATGAAACAATTTCTGGATTTATTATAGTAATTATTCATTATTCAAAGGAGTCGACGGAATTTGATATAAATTTTATCAGGGCGCCTAGATATTAACCCCCACAATCTCTTCAAATGGAATAATGGACGGTAGGTGTTATGCTTGTCACTATGATTCGAATACAGTTTCAAAACTTGTTAGCTTGGGTTTGACAAGGTTCTAACCTTGGGTTTTCCTAGGTAGTCAATACATTTTTTAATACTCGTAAATTTTTATAATGATGATTATCTTTTTGTCTGCCACATATCACAACAGGCTACTTTAGGGAGTGGGGTTCACATCCGGCTGATGATTAACCGTGGATCGACCCTATAGTCAGAAGACCCTCCTGGGGCACAACCAGCCTCTATAAAGTGGGTTCTATTAATTAAATAATTAATGAAGGAGAAAAAACTGACGGTTTAGCGTGATATCGTTTTTTTTTCTTCGTTTTTTTTAACATATCACAGCCATCACATTCTTAACAACCAATTTCATTAAATCCGATTACTAAATGGATTATGATGAAACTTATACTATGTCATTTGTAGACTATACTTTTAATTTTCTACAACTTATGGTCACATCAAATGGGCCATTTTATAAATATGAGATAGAGGCATGCTTCTGCAAATCTTCAAAATAACCATACATTATTCAGGAAATGTTTCTACTTACGGACTAAAAATGTAGCGAAAAATAATTTGCTCACCTGAAAAAAAAAGTAGTTTAAGTATAATTATTGGTTTAAATGAATCAGATTAGAAAAATCGATGGGTTAATTTAATAAAATAACAACAAATTTTAAACTATTAACAAATTGTATGGAAATCTTTCTGAATTTAATTAAACATTGGTTAGTTTACTTCACTTAAGTGTTGAGACATATTTAATAATATCTTTGTCTCTAGTTCCATTAAATATTTAAAAAATCATATGTTCAAATTTTTTTTTTCTTTCTTGGGAAAGGAACTGCAAATATTGATCCCACAAATATGTAAAAAAGATCTTTCAATTCTCCGGTCTCTGGCCATAACTAGTAGCGTTAGCAAATTTTACAAATGGGGTTAAGACCTCAAGAATTAAAGAATGATTGACTTGAACCAAGGTGAGAGTAAGTTGACTTAACTAGTTATGGCCAAAAACCAGAGAAATGAAAGATCTTTTTTAAATATTTGTGGGATCGATATTTTGACTGAAATATTTTCTACGTATAAAGGAAAAAATACGCATTCCAATAAAAATGTAAAATACAGGAAATATCGACAATGTATAGTTGTGAACGAATTGGAAACGTAAGAAGAGACGAAAAGAGTGAGAGAGCAAGGGATGGGATCATCAGGCATGGATTTGTGTATTTGTGTGTGTGTGTGTGTGTGTGTGTGTGTGAGAGAGAGAGAGAGAGAGAGAGAGAGAGAGAGAGAGAGAGAGAGAGAGAGAGAGAGAGAGAGAGAGAGAGAGAGAGAGGGATAGAAAGAGAGAGAAATGGGTGGGGATAGCCCGGAGCCCGACTGGCGCGGCTGAGCTGAGCTCACAACAATGGTCATCCATGGGCTATGCTAATCGACCCCCTTATTTATTACCTCTTGTTCGCCAATAATTAATTATCAATTCACTCCGGCTCCGGTAATTACCATGACAATAAAACCATGGGGTCGTGCCAGTACCATCTCTCTGGGGATCGTCCCTCTTTCTGCCTGCCCTCGTTCTGGGGATACTGGCTCCGCAGTGGACAAGGGATACTCCCAACCTAAAACATCTCCACAACTTAGTGGGCCTTGTTGTCCTCTGATTCATGTCCCTCTCTGCAGCTGACGGGACAACCACCCTAAGTAGGATCTGGAAAGAATAATGGACAATACCGCTGACGGACCCAAACGCTCTCTTGAGTGGGAAAAGAATTGTGACATAGTATACATAATCCGATGTGTAAAGGAGTCCTCTCGCCTGCCATGTGTAGAGCCTATAAAAAAATTCTTAATACAGTTATATTTCACTTGTAGAGCGCTTTTTAAAGAGCTTCATAAAACGGATGAAAATGTCTTCAATGTTAATAGAGCGAGGGAAAAAAATGCTTACTGGGTTAGTGATAAATTTTACAATTATGAAATATATTAAATCTAAAATAATGCGAATGATATTTAATTAAGAAATATTATAACGCTTAAAATAAATTTTAAACCAGCATTTTCATATATACAAGATTCAGGCGAATCAGCATGAGACATTTTTATCTTAAAAATGCGAGGATTTTCTTATTTGTTTTTGTACTTTATTTTTTTAATTCATTATAAATGGCATAATTAACCTTGGATAACACAACAAAATGTTTGTATTGTAAACTAAATAACAAGTTAGTTAAATGAAGCCTGTAATGGACAAAAACTTAGCGGATCAGAAGCGCTAACGTAAATACGTATATATATATTAGCCACCATATAAATTGCAAATCATACGTGTGTTTAAAGGAGTTAGTCTAGGGATATGATAATACTAAAAAAAATAGCCTACAGGGGGAGAGGGGAGGAAATACTTGCACACATGAGCGCTCATGTCTACGCCAAATCAAGAGTAACTCAACCGAGAATCTCATGACCAGCAGGGTTTTCCAAAGGCCAGACTGATGAAGGATTATATCGATTCTATGATGAATCGAATGAACAATTGGTTCCTTAGAAACATTAGGAAGATATATGGCAATGAGCACTGCGACATGAAAACATTTGATGCGAGGAAAGAATTTAAGGCAGCAAAGAGAGACAGCAAAATTCAAGGATCAGGAAGGGACTACAATATCTCATAATCGTTCATCACTAGTTACAAACACAAATGTAGATTACGAATTGGTCCTGTGGGTCAGGCAGGTGTATTGGGGACCAGCACCCTGTTCCCTCCAGGGATAAACTATATCAGATACCATCCATGTGCAAGTCCTCTCCCTATCCGATAACCTCCTTTTAATAGGACGTCACGCCAAGCATTTTCTTTGACTTTTGTCAGCTACCAACTCAACACACGGCATTCCAATTTTGTATAGAAACTCCTTATCTTCTATTGAAACACTGAATGAGTCTTTTGAAAATTAAAGCTATTTTCCGAGACCACGTAAAGATGAACTGAGCCTACGTCAATAATGGATCAATGCTAGTTATTGATTAATTACATGCTAATTATTATTTTAGGGCACATAAAATGATAAAAACTAGAAGCTTTTGTTTTTCTTGTGTTTGTTAGCTTTTGTTTAATAGTATCCAGTTATGTTTTTATAGAGGAGGGGTGAGGGTTAGAGACTCCTAAAGAGATCCCTATTTACGTCCATAAACAGAAGTCACATCTCCGAAAGAATAGTATTACAAAATTAGATATTTTACAGGGCTATATTACAGACCTAAATAGCCTTGAGACCAGGGTACCTTAAGATCTTAGCAGAAGAATGTTTCAATATGAAATACACTATTCAATATAAAGATTTCAGCATGAATTACACTATTCAAATGAAATGAATCTTGACTGTCATTCGAAAAGCACTAATTTAAAATATATTAGGCCAGTCATTAGACGATCGAAACGGGAATATGTTGCACGGAATGCGGTAGAAGCGTTTATTATAACAACTACGTTGCAAAAGTCTTCTTGTGTGGAGATTAAAGTACTAAAGAGTCGAAAAAAACTGTTTTTTTTTACTTTATAAACTTTTAATTTTTATTAGCTTTTCTTGTATTTTTTTATTTGTGAAAATGAGCGAAGCCAAAATTGACAAGATAAGTTCAAAACTGCACTTTCAATATCATAAACTATACTTTTAATATTTTTATTCTTGCGGGATTTTTCTAAAGCGACTATGAGAATGAAATATTTGTAATGAGTAAAAAATTGTAAAAGACAAAAATACTAAAACTGGACTCCTATAAAACTTTTGGCAGCCAAAAAAACTTGGAAATTTCAGATATTTTTTACTGCGGAATAGTACTTCCGTTTAACGCAGAATTAAACGTGGAACGTGCTTTGAATGAACGAGTGAAAAAAATGAGAATATGTCGAAAATTAGGGTCAAGGAAGTCCATTATTACCAAATTTGTGGAAAGGTTGAAATAGAGAACATGACTTAATTTTAAAATGTTGGTACTCTGAGGGCGTAGAAATCGATCCTTTACAACTTCTTGTAAGAGAACTCATAACAAACCAGCAGACCCATAATTGATACTGTATCTCAGTTTTTGACAAAGGTGGAAAAATCCTCGTTTTATTACCCGGGTTACCGATCATGAAACTTAGTAATATTACAATCATTTGGTATTCATTTGAGGCGAAATGTATTGTTCTTTAATTTCGCGAGTAAGAAGAGATGTCTTGCTTGGATGCACCATACCGAATTAATAGGCAAAAAACCAGCATTGAAAAATCTAAATTTTAGAAAAAAAAAAGTTCTCCTCTGTTATTTTTATATTTTACATGTTTGCATACATATATGAGCAAATCATCAAAAACTGGGCATTTTGAATATTGAAATTTCATTAAATAAATGTTTAGTGATTGACTGTTAAAAGTAATAAAAGCGATCTCTGAAAGGACAAAGGTATAAAAAACGAGTGGTTCATGATCAATTAAAATAATGATGTTTAGCGATTTCATCAAAAAACCTGAAGAGCCACCCACTCACACCAGGATCACAGAACAGAAAGTATCCATTTTTGGATCACTCATATGCGAACTAAAAAAAAAAAAAAAAAAAAACAGAAAACTCAACCACATTTTTTGCAACATAACTTCATTTTTCATATTCAACTGACTAAAAGATTGTAGGTGGTCACTTGTTTCGGAACATATTGAGTTCGCGGCACGGCTCTTATGTCAAAGAAAACTACACGGTTATAAGTCGAGACAGGACTTTAATGTTATTGCATATATTATTCACTTGTGTGTAAAACTTTCAAATCCGATTATAATCGGATATAATATACAGATAATTATATATCCACTTCACCATATGTAGAATAACATTGAAATTTAATAGTGCACGTTTTGGACTAAACGTTGTTTTTGGATTAATTTGCCCGATTTTGGTTTTTGTTGCATTAAATTGCACATTTTCTGCTTAATGTGCTAGATTAGAGGACTAATAAAAATAGATATATATGTGTGCGTGTGTGTTGAAAATATTTACACTTTTATTTTATCACCTTGTCTATATTAAATTTATACTCTGAGATAGGAAAGTAAATAATTCTGTGACTAGCAAATGTTTGAATTTAACGTTACAAAAGTTGGAAGTAAACCCAAGTGGGAAATATTCATTGAATATAACTTGCCTAATGTATTGGATAACATTAAAAATCTGCCTTCCTAGAATGAGATGGTTTGTTAAAAAGACAATTATAGTTACCTTTTTAACTTAAATTTTCACTGATTCTTTAGCTGTTCAGTATTCCTTATGGCTTTTAAGTGAATTGTAGTAATTTCATAATCAATAAGGACTACAAAAAAATTGTTTAAAATATGGATATCAAATTACCCCGAGTTAAAATTTGATAAGAAAGTTGTCTTCTGTACGCTATGGAAAAATCAATCGGTTATCATTGGACGTTGATATAGAATAGACGCTGATTGTAGAGCAGGTATGAAAAAATATATCTATTAAAGAAATTTTTTTAGAAGGAGAAAAAGTCCACAAAATATTTTTTTAGTGATCTAGAAAAACACAATAAACAATTTAAACAAAAGTTTTGATAAGATTTCGATCTATTATTATTATAAATTAAAGAAAATAGGTGATTTTTGCATGTTTTTAGGGGTTAAATACACAATTTTACTTATAATATTTTGATTGAATATTTAATAGTTGACTGTTGCATTATAAAGGAAGGAGATGGTCCGGGGTTGCGGTCATAAATAGGCTAAATAGTGGTAAAACTATTTTATTGAAAGCCAACGTTTCGACCCGACTTTGCCGGTCTTCATCAGGGAGGTGTGTTCATATAGGAGTTTCACTTAGCACTTAGCAGTTCTTATCTTAGCGCTTAATCAGTAACTAATCCATATTGAACAAGATAATAGTATTTTGAAAAGGACATATTGTAACCAATAGCCTCAGTATCGTACAAAGTTCCAAGTTCCATATTAATGTTACCATGCGCATACTGAGTGGAGCAATTTATTCCGACTCGAGAACGCAGAGCTCGCTGTTTCTTTTCCTACTCAATCGCGTCCAGTTTCAACACTTTTATTTTTATACGTAATATATTCTTATATCGTCAAATCATTAACTAAATAGGACAAGTTTAAACAAGGTTTAGGCGAGTATTTAGGTAATGGTAATGAATATTCATTTAACTTATTTATTTAACTTTGTTGCTGACTGAAAAATATAAATAAAGAAATTAATCCATGTAGTTATGATTTTATTTTCCTCATGCTAATCAATTATATGATAGAACTTATACAAAATCGCTTTACTGTTCAAAATCAATCTCTAAATAATCAGAATTATTAATGTATGTGTTTTAGTAATGTGTTTCATATACTCCGGACCACTTCATTGAAAAATACTTTTTTGAACATTATTTACTACAGGTTTTTTTTTTTTTTGAGGTAAAATATTCATGATTTTTTATTGAATAACTACAAACACACATATATAAGTTTATGTTATTTTCTAAATGAAGCGACTCATCAAGAATTTTGCAATAATTAATTTTTCTAAAAATATGTCAATTTACTTTATTATTAACTAACTTACATTTATTAATTTACTGTAACCTGAGAAGTCCGTGACTAAATATAATTAAATTGGGATATCTATTTTGACTTTCGTAAAAAAAAAATGTTATATTCAGAAGAATGATAATATTTCTTGCAAATATTATCTATCACTCACTTATTCAGATCCTTCTCTGATATCAAGGACTATACATCACCAAGCCAAATTGGAAAAATAAAAGTATAAAGGAAAGGTTCTTAAAGAAC